AACATAATTGTTACAAGGAATATGAGCTAAAATTGATATAATCATAAAATAGAACACTTTTTAAATACACCGTAAGCCTTCTCTACCTTTAACCGGGATTGAAGACTTACGGGTGGAAATAATTATTGAGTTGTATTCTTCCACCATTAAATTGGGTAAACATACAATAAAATAATTATGGTTGCCGTTGCTACTAAATAATTACTCCGGATTTATCATTAGCGTGTTAAAGTCGGAGTAGTTATTATTTAGGTGAACTGCGAGAGCGTCCCTGAATACTTTTCTGCAACTCCACACATTCTATATAAAAATAAATTGACAATCCAACTTTTATAAAAACATTGGACAATTAATTTACCAATTTCTACCCCTAACTTTTCAACATCAAAAACTTTGTGTTGTTTGGAACTCTCTTCTTTTACACTTTTTATTTTATCTCTAAAACCAAAAAGACCAAAATATTTTACAACTTCTTTTGTAAACTTTTGTTTAAATTAAATTAACTCGCGTCTCTCTGAGGTTCGACACCCTACTTACAAGGGATTCTTTTTAGTTGTTATTTTTGCCCGTTCTATACTGCAAATCAACTTGGCGCCGTTGCCGGGGAGACGGTTTGAGTTTTTTTATTTTAAACATAAGTGTTATTGTTTATTTGTTGTAAATATTTGTTATTAGTTTGTTTTCCTAACCTCTTCTTGCAGGTACTAAAAAAACAAAACAAAAACAAAACAAAAAAAACACAAAAAAGAAAAACCAAAAAAAAAAACTAAAAAAAAATACTAAAAAAAAATCCTTTGTCCGTTTACTCTTAAACACCTATTGACTTGGACATATTGGACATACCTGGACATATTGAACTATCCCATAGGTCGGATTTTCCGCCACCGGAGATTGGACATTGTTTTTTTTCTTCTTCTTTATTTTTCCTGCTGACCGGCAAAGCCGTCACAGGGTTTGTACATTTAATTACTGCACTTTACATTTCTGCATTTTTTTTCTTTCTTTCCAGGCGTGCAAAGCCGCTATTGGACATTAAATTAGGAATTTTAATCGATTAAAGTATACAGAAGCGAAAAGCCTGAAAAGAAAGCTGAATAATAATCGATTAAATGAAGGCAAATAATCGATTAATAGGCTCTGTCCGAACTAATCGATTAACTGCTGAGAAATAATCGATTATTGTTCAAAAATGAGCAGCCCTACTGAAAGACTTAAAAATCGATTAAAATGAAGCAAAAAATCGATTAGGAGGTACTGTCCAAGCTAATCGATTTTTTTTAGAGAAAAAATCGATTAAGAATTCAAACCTGAAAAATTGCACTGGATCTAATCGATTATTTTAAAGGAAATAATCGATTAAAATGAAAATAATGCGCAAACACAAAGGGCCCAAGCCAAGTGCGATTGAAAGCACTTTGGCTTCTAACTCGTTGTTTGAGACAACGAGAATAAGAAACGCTCCTACGATTAAATCTCCCTTATTCAATGAATTTGAGTAGGGGAGAGAAAAAGAGAGTCCAAAAATTATTTTGTGTGTCAAACAATACACAAAAAAATTTTAAAGTATATTTTTCTCACCAAAGAAAATTGTGTAACTTTAAGAAAATGTTTAAAGAAATTTTGACACACTTATTTTGAGATTGACTCACTAAAATATTTTAGACAGAGAAAAAAAAATGATTTTTCAACTGACTCAAAAATAATTTTTATCCCTCAGAAATTAAATTGTTTTGTGCACAAGATATTGTCATCCTTACAAGAATCCTAGACTCAATAAAAATTAAAAAGTCTTCGGAGTCTTCACATCACTTCGAAAAACTGCGTTGGGGGACCGTTGATTTTTATCCCGTAAACTTCTTGATACGCCTCTTTTCTTTTCTCGGTACGAAAAGTAAATTTTCGATCATCGTTTGAATTTCATCATCCTGTTTGTCATTTATCAAAACAAAAAATATTCCAGAGAAAAAAATAAAGGGGTTTGAACTAATGTCCAACAATTTCCCCTTTTTTGATAATGACAAACATAGTTGAGAAAAAGCAAAGAAAAGAATACTTCCCTTAAATGATTCCCCCTGCAATGTTAGAGAAGTGCAGTAAAAATAATTATCGGAGTAATAAGCGGAAAAATCTCAACTATCCTTCCTTCCCCCTTTTGGCATTATCAACCGATAACTTTCCCCCTTAATTAATGCCGGGATTTTGAAGGATAAGAATGGCAAGAGTTTTCTTTGGTGGTTGTGCAGCAAGAGATTTTGCGATAATCATCGAGGTTGACCGCGCAGTAAAGCATATTGATTGCCTTAGCGTAGTTCTCCACCTTTTTGATGTCTTCGGCATCAAATTCGCCCTCAGTCTTTGGGACGAGTTTCTCCCCAACCTTCTTCATTGGCATTTCTTCGCCGTTCTTGATGACCAACCACAACTGGAAGTTGGTTGAGCGGATATAAATTCTCATCCGCTCTTTCCAATATGTGTAGTTGGTGATGTACCCCTGGATGACTCCACCAAAATCCAAACTCTCCCAACATATCCAAATGTTTTCTTTCGTTTCTTTTATCCAAAATAAAGTGTTTTCCATCCATTTTAACCCCTCATCGAAAATAAAAGTCAAAACCTTTGTTTCTTGTTTTTGTAACCTTTTACCCCAACAATGCCTTCCCTTCTTTTCTTCTAATCGTTATTCTGAACCCCTAAATAATCGATTATCCTTAATTGATAATCGACTATTGAAGTCTGCAGATTCTTCTTCAAAGTCCATAACTTCTCATAATCGATTGTCAATAACTTGATAATCGATTATCGTCACCCTCAGAAAATATCCAGTTCCGAATAAGTCCTTGTAAATCGATTGTCTTGTAGTGTCAATCGATTATCGGGTTCCTCAGAACATTCCCAGTTTGAGCTAAACTCAATTAATCGATTTACTAAATGTGCTAATCGATTATTCCTACGTCTCTGAACCCTGAGTGAATCAGTTCCTGTTTGCTCATCCTAAGATTGGATATAAAGCTAAAATTATCCCCTGATTTTTAACAAAGAATAAAGTCTTTTGTTTCACAAAGCAAAAGCATAATCACTTTTGAAACAAAGGAACAAAATCAGAAACAAAGTCATTGAATGAATAGTGCTGTTTTGGCATTTTATTCACAAAAGTCTAAAGCTTGATTCCCCTTTGTTTTCTCCCTTATATGCACGAAATTCTCCCTAAATAAACCCAAGGAAAATCAGCCCAGAATCAGGAGAAGCATCTTGGAAAATCAGCTCACATGGAAGGACATTAATCTTTGATTTTTAGGAAAGAAGTAGGAAGTTTCCTTTATTGTATTTTTCCTTATTTGTTGTTGTATAAATACTTCAGCCATGAGGCCATTGTAAGGAGGAGATTGTATTGAATGAAAAACTTTGTTTACTCTTTTGAGTATTCTCTTAAAATAGTGTGATGTTATTTTAGCCAAATTTCCTAATGAAATATCTCTAAAGCTTGAGACTTCTTCCACCGTCTCTTTGGTTGCTTTTAGCGCTATTCCTTTCTTCTTTTGTTCATCCAAAGACGGGGTTAGAATAGTGGATTCATAAGTTTTGAGATTACCTCTTAACCCGTCGATGGGTGACGTTGGAGAGGGGACTCCGATGGATCCGTAGATTGCGCCAGCCTTTGATCTCCATTCGGGTGTGAGACTTCGCATGATTTTTCTTACTAGATCCTTGTTGGCGTAAGTCTTCTTGAGTGCATGAAGGTCATTGATGATCTTCGAGAACCGTTTGAACATATCATCAATCTTCTCGCCTTCCTTCATTCCGAACATCTCGTACTCCTGCGTGAGGAAGTCAATTTTGGCTTCCCGAACTTGGTCTGTACCTTCGTATGTGACCTCCAGCTTGTCCCACATTTCTTTGGTGGTTGTGCAGCAAGAGATCTTGCGATAATCATCGGGGTTGACCGCGCAGTAAAGCATATTGATTACCTTAGCGTAGTTCTCCACCTTTTTGATGTCTTCGGCATCAAATTCGTCCTCGGTCTTTGGGACGAGTTTCTCCCCAACATTCTTCATTGGCATTTCTTCGCCGTTCTTGATGACCAACCACAACTGGAAGTTGGTTGAGCGGATATAAATTCTCATCCGCTCTTTCCAATATGTGTAGTTGGTGCCATTGAAGAGTGGTGGCCTAGAAGTTGATTGACCTTCTCCTATCCCTGCATAAAGATTTCTAGAAGAAGAACCCATGATCGCTTTACTCTCAAACGGTTAAGTTTGGACGCGAGTTAGGCTCTGATACCAATTGTTAGAATAAAAGACCATTGTTAGAATGACCTTATTGTCACTAAGGCGTTCTACCGTGCATGATTTTGAATCGAAGGTCACACGGTTTCCCTTGTCGCATAATTGACTTATGCTCAAGATATTGTGTTTAAGACCCTTAACTAGCAAGACATTATCTATAGAGGAGTTTTCAGATTTACCTACCGAACCAATGCCGATAATCTTTCCCTTGCTATTATCTCTAAAAATTACGTTTCCTCCTTTGGCGGGTTTAATTTGTAGGAACTTGGATGCATCTCCGGTCATGTGCTTGGAGCATCCGCTATCAAGGTACCAAAGTACACTTGACGCCTTCAAGCACACCTACAAAAATGATTTAATAAGATTTAGGTACCTAAGTCTTTTTGGGTCCTTGAATGTTAGGTGCAAAGTGGTAGTGTGATTCGTTTTGTGCCCCATGCCTATGCCTAGTGAAGCAAACATGAGCTATATGTCCTACCCTATTGCAGTAATGGCAAACTACGATTGGGTTGTGCATCCTCCTAGGTTGATAGTAGTTGCTAGGGGGCTTAACCATATTCATCCTATTTTGAGAAAACATTGGTTTTTGAAAATTCTCTCTTCTAGGTGTCCTAGCATTATTTTGTCTATTTGTAAACTTATTTTTGTGCACAAATTCATTTTGAGAATTTTTCCTAGGTTGTCTAACATGCACATTTTCATTCATATGTTTTTGTCTAGGTTGTCTAGTGTCCTTAGGTTGACTAGATTTTCTATTATCCTGATTTTTAACTTTCTTACGTTGAGCCTTAAGAGGTTGTCTAGGTGTTTGCTCAACATTTTTATCCGTAGATTCGTTTTTATCAAAACCTAATCCTTCCTTAGAAAAATGCATAGTGTCAAGGAGTAAGTTAAGATCTTTGTGTGGAGTATTGAATTTCGTAACCGTACTCTCAAATTTTGTAACTTTTTCTTTTAAAGCCTTGCAAGATTCACATTCATTTGTAGAGCTTTCCGGTTTGTCAGCGCTTCTTTTGCCATAAAATTTATTTTCTTGTTTTAACTTTTCATTATTTTTTTCTAGTTTTTCAAAATCATTTTCAAGAGTTGAAAGACGTTTCTTTAATTATTTGTTAGTTTTAGAAGCGCTAACAAATTCCTCGTAAAGCTCACGAAGTGCTTCTTGCATCTCTTCAAAAGTGTAAGAGTCAGAAGAAGTGGTACATACCTCTTGTATATCGTCAGTTTGGTCTTCGTGTGCCATGAGACAGAGGTTGGCGGCTTCATCCTCTTCTTGGTCGGTTGACTCGTAACCGGAGTCGCCACCCCACGAGATATATGCCCTTTTCTTTTTGAAGCCGGGTTTGTCCTTGCCGTTTTTGCCTCTTGGACATCTCGGCTTGATGTGGCCTATCTCGCCACACCCATAGCACTTCGGGGGACCGTCGTGCTTTCTTCCTTTGCGCTCAAATTCCTTCTTCATGAATTTGTGGAATTTCTTGATGACGAGTCCGAACTCGTTGTCATCATCGCTTGAGACTTCTTCCACCGTCTCTTTGGTTGCTTTTAGCGCTATTCCTTTCTTCTTTTGTTCATCCAAAGACGGGGTTAGAATAGTGGATTCATAAGTTTTGAGATTACCTCTTAACCCGTCGATGGGTGACATTGGAGACTCCGATGGATTCGTAGATTGCATCAGCCTTTGATCTCCATTCGGGTGTGAGACTTCGCATGATTTTTCTTACTAGATCCTTGTTGGCGTAAGTCTTCTTGAGTGCATGAAGGTCATTGATGATCTTCGAGAACCGTTTGAACATATCATCAATCTTCTCGCCTTCCTTCATTCCGAACATCTCGTACTCCTGCGTGAGGAAGTCAATTTTGGCTTCCCGAACTTGGTATGTACCTTCGTATGTGACCTCCAGCTTGTCCCACATTTCTTTGGTGGTTGTGCAGCAAGAGATCTTGTGATAATCATCGGGGTTGACCGCGCAGTAAAGCATATTGATTGCCATAGCGTAGTGTTATACCCAAGCTCAGGTTTTTGAAGGAATTATCTTGTTAAGGACAGGGAAGCAATAATCGATTTCCCAAAGTGGATAATCGACTATCAGGGGCTTCAGTTTCTGGGGTAATTTTCTAGGGATTTTCTGGGAGGGGAGATAATCGATTTACAGGAGGTGTCAATCGATTATTGAGGATGGCAGGTTTTTCTGGGAAAGGCTGATAATCGATTATATGAGAGTGATAATCGACTATTGAAGACTGCAGATGTTTCACGAAGGATAGATAATCGATTTCCAGTAG